GATGGTAGTGGTAGATGCTATGACCTGAATGAAGCATGAACAAAGATGTCTTTTAAAATTGTGTGCTCCAAGTTGTACATTTTGAAGTGAGCATGCTTCAGTCTCTACAGAAGATTAATTTCACAGAGAATTTCCTTCAGTAGAAATGAGTGTACCTCAGCTGCTTCAGATTCTGTGTGAGGTGCAAAGCTTAGAGTGAGTTCAAGGTCCGTAGAAGTGACACCTGACTCAGAATTATTTAATGAACTGTATCTGTGTCACAGCAGAGGAGCAAATGAATGCACATTTTGGATTGTTTGCTTCTCTTACGTGTTTTTATAACAAGTGAGGGGGTTTTAATGCTTTAGCTTCTTAAGACTTATCCTAGATAACCTTTATCCAGAAAGAGTGAATAGAAAAAAAATGAAGTTGAGTGTGGTCAAGATCATGCTGGTGCTATAACCCGGAGGATTGATTCTCTGCCAAGTCTCTCTGAGTGGTTGTGTGTCTCAAGTAGTTGTATGGTAGCTGATAGACAAGGCCCTAGAGACTTGACTTCTCTCCTTGGCTGAGGATATGCTCCCAGCCAGAAAGACCCCTCTCTCTGAAGTATCCAGAATTCATAGGTTCCTTAGGAATGTGGGAACTGGAGGATATCAGACAATCCTTCCTCTCCAGATACCTTATCTTCTTCCACGAGAGCCCATCTTGCTGTAAATTTGGCTATTTTTTCCCCCTATCCTCTGTGTCTGAACTTTCTGAGCTCACATTGTTCAGGGCATAACTTTGCACCTCTGGCCATTTTTCTGTCAGTTCCTAAAATATTATAGCAAGTGTGACAAAAGTATGTAAAATCTCATGGAATTGCAGTATTCTGTTCTTTCACTTACTTTGTCATAAAAATAAGCTATTTTTATTTCAAACCAAAGCTATGTTAAACCACAAGGCTGTGTTTCAGTATCACAACACTTTCTTCACTAAGTTGTGCTAAAAGCATAGGCTTTTTTCTGTAAAAACACGTGTAAGAGTTAGAGTGGGTGGTGTTCATGAAAATCTTTCATCAAATTACTCAGTACCTCAATAGCCCAAGCTCTTTCTGTTCTCAGCAACATCATGACAGGTGTATTTTTTTTCTAGTTCGGTCTGAGGATGTAGTGAAAAATCTCATCTGGATGCTAGGTTTTTCTTCTGGCTGAAATAGAACAGATGAGAAATTCAAAAAGAAAGATCCCTGGGAAAAAAGGGGACATACAAAAAGGAACTAAGTGATTAGCTAAAATAAATATAGTGTGTAATGTTAACAGATCATTTACTTCATCAGCTCAATTTAGATTATTTGCAGCTGCAGTTCTCTTGTAATCCATGTTTCATATGTCACAATTTTTTCTTTAATTCTTTTATTCAAATCTAGTTTCTCTTACCATGTATTACAGTTATAATAAGCACCTGGAGAAAAGTACCTAAAGGTAAAACCCAAATCTTGTCACCTTCTTCCATGTTGCTTCTAAAAGCTGCAGTATTTTCAGATTCTGTTGATGTCCTGTTGTCAAAATTACTGTTTGAAACTTGTTAGAAATATTGTTCAGTTTCATGGAGTTACTCACTGTTCTCACTACAGATGTGATTTTTTTTTTTTTTGGCATTATTGTCAACATATTGTTACTGTAACTTTAGACTACAGATTGTTGTTTTTTCCCTCCCTTTTTCTCCCAACAAACACCCACTAATTCTAGGCCCTCCTGTCTGGTGTAGTATTGCAATTTCAAAACCATAGCCAAGAGTAGAGCTGTTCTTTCCCTTTCCACAGGACTCAGCTTCAGTTTCCCGCATAGAACTGATTGAAAAAAATATTCCAGAAAATGTATTTTGACAAACTTCTGAGCTTTTGACCAAAAGAATATGTGAAAACTATGTGCTTTCCACAGGAAAATGCAGATTCTACAGAAAATCAACAGTTGGTTGAAAACTTTTAAGTCAGAGGTGTTCCAGGATCATCAGTGTCCTTTTGGCAAGTGACATGCACTGTTGGAGATGTGATATGTTCAAGGAGCTGTTTGTGTCAAAATAATGAGGCACATGAATTAAAAATCCCATGAAGTGATGTAGCAGCACTCCCAATACAGTATGGTAAACATTTGCAGCCAGAGCATGTCAGAATCTGAGGGCAAAGAGTGAGATTTGAAAGAGGGGAGAAGAAGAGTTCATAAAAAATATTGTGGTAGATTTGTAGATTTTTCACCTGTCGGCTTTGAGGGAAACACATATCCCCCAAACAAACAAACACACACACACACACACCCCACTGCTACTTTCTGACCCTGTCTGTTGCTGTATTACATGGTAGCTTTTCATGAGGAAGTTCAAATGAGGAAAGCTTCTCTGCAGTAATTTTTCTTCTGTGGTGATAACTAAACCCTTTTATTAATGTAAATATGAATGGCTTTTTTCTGATGAGGCTTTCATAACTGCCCTCCTTTGTGTATTCTGGGGCTGTGTGAATGCACTCAAAAGCAGGTGAAGCTCAGAAAAAGCTTATGTTGTATTTACGTAGCTTGAAATCTGATGGACTTTAAGTGAAAAATCCTTGCTGTTATATTTGTGAGTCAGAAAAAAACAGCTATGAAGAGTAAAACTAAAGACGTATTTAATCAGCAAAGGGAAATTTGCCAGTCCTCAGTGCTTTGAAGTAAGTTTAATGTGAAGATTGGTCTTTTTATGCTTTGGTCTCAGTTAGTGTCAGCATTTAATTTATTGGTGGATAGCCTGTGCAGGGTGAAAGTGCAAATGCAATGCAAGAGTTCAGTAAGTGCTGGAAGTCTCTGGAAGCTTTTGGAATGCCTTGATGTGCTGGAAATGGGCTTTTACAGTCACATTCATATAATGAAGTTTTTGCTTTTTTCCCTACTCCATACAGCTTGAATAGACAGCTGAATTTTAACATGCAGGCATTGATGAGGGAGCTTGAGGTTACTAGGCTTACTTCCCCTTTTATAGCGTTGTCTGGCCTTTCTTGTTGCAGATAGACATTGACACAATAATCTGGCAACTATTGCCACTTGCTTTCGAAAATCAGGGTCTGCAAATGAAGGTGGCTAGTTCTTCCTGGTCCCAACTGGCTTAAAACCCCATAATACAATCAAATAATCAAGTCACAAATTACAAATATCCAGGCAAGACTGAACCCTGTGGAATGAGAAGGAATGGGCAAGGATTTGTGAAGGTGTATTGATTCCCTGAGCAGCATGAGGAAAGCCACATCACAGATTTCCTGGTATGACCACTGTAGATGCATTCTTGCTGTATGGATTCACTCTTGCCTGAAAGTTTTATCCAATGTGAACATGGATAAAACTTGTCTGCTTCTGTGTGTGGGTCAGATCCTGTGCCTTGATTTATGATTTAAAAAGAAACATAAGCATTTAATAAGAAACATAAGCATTTTTTTGTGTGTTGTTTAATAATCAGAAGTCTCAATCTCTTTTTTCTTAAAAATGAAACAAAACCCATACAGGCAGTAGCTGTAATCCCAGATGAACAAACACGTGACTGTGAGTCCTGACCCTTTGATGCATTAGGATTATAGACACAGCTTCAAACCAACACCAACCTCTGGCTTTAAAACTTTGACTTCCATTGGAAAGAAAGAGTTTCTGATCTTCAGAACTCTTGGGTAAACTGTGAAATGACAGTCACCGTTATTTGTTTGCAGAAGTTTGCTGTGGGATGTATTGGCCCTGTGGCAATATGTGTGGAGGCAGAAGGTATCTCAATGAGCTGCCCCTTGTCTCCTATGAGAGACACTTATATTATAATGATTATAAAAAAAATTATTTTGATTATAATGATTATAAAATATGATTATTTTGTAGTTTTATAAGAGTGCTTTTCTTCCATTCATATGATTTCTTTCATATCCTTAACCTCATACTGCCTTTCCCAACCATTCAGAGAAACTCTAAGGCTTTGGAATATTTAAAAATATTTGAAAATTTGTCTGCCATTCTGTTTGAATACAGCAGCTGCAGGAACAGACTGTTACTGCATTTTTTTCCCCCCTTCCAGAATAGGCTAAGAGGGGTGCACTGACCACAACAAGAAGGAAGAGGAAACACAGCCATAAGACTGGAATACCCCAACCTCCTGTCCCATATCCAGTGTGGTCTGGGTTGTCAGTAGATTGTCTACTTTTAGATTTAATACTGCTCCATATATCTTGACGTGGAAGGGCAGTACAGTGGTTTCGCAGTGTTTGCAGTCCCTGCCAGAGTGCTGAGGCACAATGGACCGAGGCCATGCCTGGCTGGAAGTGTGTCCTGGATCATGGCAGAGTGAGGTGTAAAAGGATCCTGTGCAGTCCGGATGGGTATCAAGGGCCCTGTAGCTTAGGCAAAGCAGGGAGGATGATTCAGAAGTTTCAGCATGTTGCAGCCTTTTTAGCTGATGTACTGGATGTTCTTAATGGCTTGCTAATTCACGAAAAACTTCTTATTGCTTCCATTGTAGTGTTGGCCTGGGGGCCAGTGAGGTTTTATGGTCTGAGACAAACTTGGACCACACAGTCCAACCTGTCTGATGGATTGGGTATTTGATTTTGGGACTGCAGCTGGGAACAGAATTTTGATTTGCACTTATGAAACAGCTTCTATTCCAGTCTTGATCTCTGGGGAATGGATGCAAAACACCAGAAGAACAAGATGCAGCTCTTCCTTGTGCATCATGTTTGTCAAATCAGCTTTTGACCTTTTACTGGCTTTGTAAAAATATGAGAGTCTTTGACTCAGTTTCAGGTTATTAGGAAGGAGATATTTTTTCTGTTTGACTTTGGACTGTAATGAATGTGAGGTATGGAACAGCCTAGATGTATGCAGCAGAATAAATACTGAAAACTTGTTGTGTTCCTATTTCTCCAGAGTAATGAATGGCTTGTGAGGAAAACTTGGGGTTGGTGATATGAAGAGTATATTTATTTTTGTCTTCTAGTACTGAACAGAAGAGATTAACTCTTTTGTGCTTATTTTCAGACTGGATATTTCCATCTGCCCCATGGGGATTACTTCATTGAGCCCATTAAAAAGCATCCACAGAAGGAGGGAACACCCCATCCCCATATTATCTATGGTGCAAATAACCTTCAAAATGCTTTAAGGAGAAGACGGGCCATCCCGATGGAAAAGGAGCGAACATGTGGACTGAATGGTACTAATTTTGCTGGATTTCAGCCTATTAGCTTTCTGAATCTTTTGAAGCAACTGTTTTCCAGTGGTGTGTGCCTTTCCTTCTGCCAGGCTTTTAAAAATTCTGTAAGAAAAGATTATGCAAAATGAGAGCATCTCAATCAAAACACCACAGGAGCCACCCATCTGTGATCCTTTCTGAACAGTTAAATATTCCTTATGACTACTGGGATATGTTTTTCATGCCATTGATCCTTTCTGCCCCTCAATTTTTCTCCAACCAGAGCTGTTCAGTGAGTTTGGAACTTGAATTCTTGAGGAGTTCTGGGATAAAAAGATTTGCAGTCAGCATTATTTTTAATAAAATATTCTCACTCCATACAAGTTCTGTCTTCAACATAAAATAACTCCTCTCTAGTCCATGGTTTAAATTTAGGATTTCTAGATTTTCTGTGATTGTTAGCAGATTATTGACAGAGTTTTATTTAGTTATTCTGAAAGTGAAGTACAGGGCATCAAGAGCAAGATTTTTTTAGTGGAAGTAAAAATAGCTTGAATATTCATGCAGTGATACCCAGGATCATGTCTTTCGTGAAAACAAACTAGTACACTATGCTGGAAGGGAAGACTATATCTAGAGGGTAGTTGGCATCTCATAATTGCACAATTAGTTCTTTTATTTAGTTAAAGAATTTAATTTATTAATTTCACATGAAGAATATACAGATTGTTTTAGTTTTCTGATGTTTGAGGCCTTAAATCTGAGTCTGCACCAAACTTTAGAAAAGGCGTAGTATTGGTAGGGATGAATCAGTAATTACTTACATGACCCAAGGCCTGAGTTATGTACAAATAGAGCTGCAGAGTACACAGGAATGTGTTTCTGTCTTTCACAGGTCAGTGGTTTAAGAGAAATTGGTTCTTTTCCAGGAATGGGAAATTAAAGGAGGAATGTAGGAATTGTTAAACCCCAATCATGTCTGCTGGTGAAGTTTTACTGCTGTGTAATATGGGTTGGTAAATTAAAGAAGCAAAGAACAACTTGACCCCCCTATATTTCTGGTTATAGACCTGAAGTGCACTTCTTGCTTGCTGGCCCAAGGTAGTGCAAAATGGTAACAGGGGAAAAACATGAGAAAGCTGATGGGGAAGTTACTCAGTCTTCTGTGATACTGGGAAGGTAAAGGGGAAGCCATAAGAATTAGTATGAATGCTGCTTCGTTTTATTATTCATCAAGTAAAAATATATATCTACTTAATAGAAAACAACCCTGGATTTGGCAAAAACAGGAGTGTCTAAAGGTGATGTTTATACTGGTGTCAATTTCAAATAGCTCCTTGAATTTTCATTCCTTCTGTTGACTACTGGGCTAGACAAGAGAAATTAGTTTAGATTTGAATGTGATAAATGAGGAAGTTGTTCTTGCCTACTGTCTTCCAGGTTTCTTTTATGGATGCAGTAACATATGGATGAAATAACATCTGGATGCAGTAATTTTAAGTGTGGAGAGAAGGTAGAAGATCCTTGGGAACATGCTGTGTGCTTGCTTTGTGTGGTCTGCTTATTTTCTTTCTACCTCTCACTTTTTGCTTCTTGTATCTTTCTTCAAAGTCATGCAGAATGAAACAGAAAAAGACTGGCTGTACCTGGACTCTGTAAAAAAAAGCATAACTTCCTTGCATCTCTTAGATTAGCTAAGTCTGCTCTAATAGACTTGTCAATTTAAACTCCCTGTCTGATGTTACTCATTCCAAAGTGACAGAATTATTTCTGGTGATAGTATGTTAATTGTATTGCAGGCAAACAAAGATAGTGCCTTATGAACTAACAAAATAGACAGCTATAATTTATGTTTCCTTTTTAACAGTCAGCTTTTAGAGGTAATATCTGCTTTTAACCAAACCATAATCTTGGCTGTCATACAAGTTAAAGAATCAGTATGAAGAAACGTATCGGGGTAAAACCATTCCCATCATTATATTTTTTCCCTTTGTGTGACAGCATATAACAATCCTAGAATCTTCAAAAGGCCCAAACATTTAAGTTGTGTGTTACGTGTCCTGGGCTGCATCCAGAGCCCCGTGGGCAGCAGGGCAGGGAGGGGATTCTGCCCCTCTGCTCTGCTCTGCTGAGACCCACCTGGAGCACTGCATCCAGAGCTGGGCTCCCAGCACGGGAGGGACAGGGACCTGCTGCAGTGAGCCTATATATTAGCAAAAGATATTAGCAAAAAAATTCTCTATCTTGAGGGTGATTAAGCTTTGGAACAGGTTGCCCGGAGAAGTTGTGAATGCACCATCCCTGGAAGTCTTGAAGGTCAGGCTGGATGAAACTCTGAGCAACCTTGTCCGGTGGAAGATGTCCCTGCCTATGGCAGGAAGTTGAAACTATATGATCTTTCAGGTCCCTTCCAAACCAAGCCATTCTGTGTTTTGTTATCTCATTTCTGAGTAGCCAGCTTTCCAACGGGGGTAGAAGAAAGAAAGAATGCAGTGTCATCTTCTATTGATACTGCACATTGTCAGAGCAGTTGCTCTTGTTAGAAGTGAAGTACAGAAGGAAAAGGGAAAGTGATGCAATTCTTACTTTCTGTGCCAAATGTATTGGCTACTTAGGCTTTAGTGAATACTTTGTGCATAAATAAATTTCAAAGTTAGTAAGTTCACTCTGCCACCTTTTCGGGATTTCATGCACTTCATGCTTTTGAGGTTGGTGCCAGAAATCATGTACACCCATATGACATCACAGATAGCTTAGAATAATGCCTTTTGGGATCACTTCAAGGCAAACCATTTTCAATTTGTAGTTCACAGTTAATTGTAAAAATGAATTGTATTTTATAGGTTAAACTCCATTTTGTGTTTTCAACCCTCAGCGACTGCTGAGCTGGGGCTTAGCTGATGAAGAGTTGCCTATTGTATGTCTTATAGGACCTGGTGTTTAGATATTTTAACCTTGTGGGCTGAGATTTATCATGCAAAGTGTCTGCATTTGTTTATTTGAGCTCTGAGTTTGTTAGGCTTTTTAAAATTAAACTGAGATGCTTGCATTATTTCTGTGACTTACGCTTGGTGTGTGTTCGGGTTAAAGTTTGGTGGTGATTTTTGCTTGAAGAAATTGAATCACCTTGATGCTTACGAGTCAGTGCACAGAGTTGAGTGGTGATAATAAAAATCTTTTAGTCAGAAACTAATCTGCCTGTCAGGCAAGGAATATAAAGACTAGTTGTATAGACAAAATCAGAGTAAAGGAATTACTACAGGGGGAAATGTGTAGAGGATGCTAATCTCCTGTGCAGTCTTTTTCCAGGTGTGTTTTTTTTCTTTTAATGCAAGATGGAAGAAGCCTTGTGCAATAACGACTTTTACAGGTTTTACTGTGGCAACAACTGCATGAATATCCAGGGTCCAACCTGCTTATTACTTGTCTTGCCTACATGCAATAATGCTTTAGAATCAGTGACTTTCCTGTAGTCTTGCAATGATTACATTATTTACTTTATAATTGGTATTATCTTTAAACAGTTTCAGATACTTGGAGAAAAATCATTGCAGTAAATTATGTAAATTAAAACTTATGCTTGTGCTGCACACTTCCATTGCTGCTCAGGCAAATGCCAGCTGACTCAGTCATTAGCTGCATGCAGAACTGAGTTACTACTCTTGAAAGTAGCATAATAATACTGGACTCTGCTAGCACCTGTCTCACTGTGCCATTTGAAATATGTGTGAGAAGTAGCAGAAAAGATAAATGAAAAGTGTCCCTGTGCCTTATAAAAAAACCTCTCTCTAATCCTTTGTGCCCACAGGATAGGAAACTGAGGATCTGGAAATTTGTTTTATTCTTCTAAATAGGTGATTCTAAAAACTTGACAGTGGTCTAAGATATAATCTAAAGAAAGAGAAATTATCCTACCTTCTACAGAACAAAAAAGTGATCTCCTATGTCCTTTTTTTGTTATTTGTGAGCTTCAAAATAAGATAAATTTTGTGAAGTTTGTGAGTGAAAATGCTGTATTGTAGTGAAGCTCTTCCTAAGTGCTACTTGGAGGGGACTGGAGGAAACAGATGGATTTAGGCTGGAGAGAAGGACAGGTTGCTGTTGTACAGAGGGTGAGGGCAGTTATGTTTATTCAGATTGCAACCCAGTGATTCCTGCAGAAGGCTGTGAAATGTAACTAAGGTGTGAAAGGTTTGGGGTATTAAAGTAGATCTCTGAGAATGTTTAATTGGAGGTTTAGGTGTACAAAAAATTGTTATATAATTTATCCTCATTTTGCTGTTGAAGTATTTGATAGATCTGAAGTTAGGACTAGTTTGGGTTTGACATGGGCCTCCAGCTCCTTGTCTGCAGAGAAGTTACAAATCTTGAAACTTATTTTTTTTGCATTTGGAGCAATTTTACCCCAAAATTGTAACTGTGATAGGATAAAGCTGGAGTGAAAGAAAGGAGAGAAGAGTCTGGCTGTTGTGTGAAATGATGAGGAGGAGAGGGGGAGTTAAAGGAGCAGAGCAACATTGTCTGTGCAAAACTGTTTTTTAACAATTTTTCCATCATCACTCAAAATTTAAGTATTTTGAGTGATGATGGCATAATTAATTTAACAGAAATCTAGAGTGCCATTAAGCTGTTTCAGACAATTACTACCTGTTGTACTTCCTCTGTCTGACTGCAGGACTTTATTCAGTCATTGTCTTGCTTTTTGGTGATTAACTTGATACTGTCAAAGGCTTCTTTTCAGTTTTTATGCTTGCAAAGTGTACAGGATGAACTAGTAATACTGGCTTTTGACCCTGAAATATTTTGTTTAATCACTTGAAAGAAGGAAGGGGAGAAACCCCAGGGCATTGTTTTATTCTCAAGCAATAACCTATCTTTTGTTTTAGAAGGATATTGTGGCCAATGTGAGCAGCTTTGCTTGAACTCCTGGTAGAGGCTCAGTAGCTTCTGTCACTTTTAAAGAAAGTTGCTGATATTTTCCCAGTATTTGTTTGTCCTGTATTTAATCACATCAGTTATAA